GTGTGTGTGTGTGTGTGTGTGTGTGTGTGTGTGTAATATGCATGGATATATGTGTAATATATCATAAATTGTGTTGGACATAGATATGGAAACATAAATAGATATAAATTACAAGCAAAAGGTTTAGAAAAAAATTACAGTGATGGATGATACTATTTTTTCTCCATAGAAGATTGACATTCCCTTTGTGGGTTGCTGTGTGCTCTAGAAATTCTATGTTGATTTTCTAATAAGAGGGAATGAGGTTACTTCTAGCAGAGATTCCAACATCTGTCCCATATAGACAATAGACAATTTATAGTTCACACTTGCCCTAAATTGTAAGCCTTTGGAGTTTCAATCTAAAGTATAAGGCAATATCAGGTATATAATTCCAGGAGAGAGTAAAAATTCTAGGCTCTGCTGAAATTTCTACTCAGCTGTCTAGCATTTCCAGCCTCTTCTGGAATAGATACCCATGGGAGAAATGAAGAAACTGTAGAAACCCAAACTCCCAAGCTAAAAGTTCTGGTTTCCCTTTATCCCTTACGTTTTATTTCTGCAATTCCTGCCTTGTTAGCTTGTTAGCTCTTAGGAACTGTGTGTGTGTTGTGTTTTATATATCTATAATAATAAAAGCATAATATGCTAATTAGACCAGACAGCCAAATGACCTTCCGGACGTCATACCAGACATCCTTCCTGACCAAGCCACGGTGGTGGGGGCGAGACAGAGGCAGTTACAGGCAATGAGGCAGGCAGGCAGAGTGGTTAGGGGCAATCAGGTAGGCAGCCAAGTGGTTAGGCATGATGAGGCAGGCAAGCACAGTGGTTAGGGGTGATCAGGCAGGCAGGCAGGCGAGCAGTTAGGAGCCAGCGGTCCCGGATTGCAAGAGAGATGTCCGACTGCCGGTTTAGACAGTCGGATATCCCCCAAGGGGTCCTGGATTGCGAGAGGGTGCAGACCAGGCTGAGGGACCCTCCTCCCCCGTGCACGAATTTCATGCACCAGCCTCTAGTCTTATTTATAAATGAAAAATTACAAACAACCTCAATCCCCACTAAAGCAAATAAGCTATGTTGTTTTATTCATAGAATAGAAGTTTAAAAAGCAACTAAAAAGAAGACTCTAGAGCAGCCGTG